CTCCCCCTCCCCCACTAACCCCGCACCTCCTGCTGACCCTGCTCCCCCTCCCCCCCTAACCCCGCACCTCCTGCTGACCCCGCACCTCCTGCTGACCCCCCTCCACTCTGTCTGTTCCAGAGCATCGGATCAGAACCGGAGGAGCAGCCTGCGTCTCCCTGCAGAACCAGCAGGCCTCCAGCTTCCTCCCCCACCATGAAGACGGCGGCGTCTCGCAGCAGGACACGGCGGGCGGAGCTGAAGGACGTGATGGAGACACAGAGGGACCGATGGAGACGGTTCCGGGAAACCAGAACCCGACCCGCTGGACCACGGCTGAGACTGAAGAGTCCCAGTCAGCCTCCCAGTGAACCCAGTGAGTCTGATCTGGACCTCTGGTTCTGTTGATGTTCTGATCCGAGGCCATCAGCCGCTCCTCTTTCTCCTCTCAGTCGTTCTGTCCAGTGAGGAGGAGCCGGACCTGGACCTGGACCTGAACCAGAACCAGGGCAGCGGAGAAGAAGGACCAGAACCGTCCCAGAGCAGCAGAACCACAGACAGAGCGGGACGCCATGGGAAGCAGGTCTGAGAACCGTCTGAGCCGGACCCGCTCTCAGAATCTGGCCCGGTTCTGCAGCTGCTGACCCGCATGTGTTCCTCTCCTCCAGGCTCCGCCCTCCTTCCTGCAGCTGGACTTCAGCCGGCTCCACTTCGGCCTGATGGAGGCCGGCGCCGGTGGCTCCATGACGGTCCGTCTGTGGCTCCTGTCCCGGGTTCTGGAGTTCTGACCCAAAGTTCTGACCCAGAATGTCTCTGTCTCTGCAGATCACGGAGAACGGCATCCTGCTCCCGCTGACAGGTACCAGCCGCCTCCCGGCCCTCTAACCCCGCTCTTAGCTCCGCCCTAACACCAGCCTGTGTCTCCAGGGTCGGAGGTTGCCCAGGTAACGGTGGTGGCGTCCCAGCTGCGGGGCTACGGGCTGTGGGATGGGGGCGTGGCCAGTGGAGGCCCCTCCCCCTCGCTGCTCTTCCTCTGGGTGTCGGAGGCTCAGGCCAACCTGCTGCTCCGGGAGCTGGCGCCCCTCCAGGCGTCCGGCGCCGACGGTGAGAGCTCAGGATGGGCCGGGTCGGTTCTGGTTCTGGTCCGACCCGCCGCCTGCTCTCATGGCTCTGACCTGTTCTGTCCCCGCAGCTCCGTCCTGCTCCTTCCTCCTGCTGGTTCTGAAGGAGCGGCTCCAGGACCTGCAGGTCGCCCTGCTGGCCTCCATCTTGGACCTGGACCAGTACCAGCAGAACCGCTGCACCCCCTGCCCCATCCCGCGGGCCCAGGGCCTGCTGATGATCCGCCGCTGTCCTCCTCCTCTGGACCGGCGCCTCCTGCTGCTGCTGGGGTGCCCCGCTGTAAGGTTTCCATGGAAACGCTTTAGGGTGGACCCAGGTTCTGGAACAGGTCCGAAGGTTCTGCTGCTAAAACACTGTGGAACCAGAACCAAGCAGGCGGGTTTCAGACCGTCCAGAACCGTAAAGAAAAAGGTTCTGGTTCCAGTCGGGTTTGTTGGATTTCGGTTCTGCTGTTTAAATCATAATTAGTCGACTGATCAGTTAAGGTTTTTGTCTCCATGGTGACAGACAAGGCGCTAGCTCTGCTAGCATGAGAGGCTAGCGTCCCCGGAGCTACTGAAGCTACGTGTTGACAGAACTTCCTACTCAATGGTTCTGGTCAGATCCGTTGATGGAACCCTCCTACTCAATGGTTCTGGTCCGATCAGTTGATGGAACCCTCCTACTCAACGGTTCTGGTCAGAACCTGGCAGAGAAGAACCATGGTTCT